GTTTTAAGCCTCTCCCCAAAGTCTCAAACTCCTCATCTGAGCCTTCCCTTAGAGAAGAGTGACTGTTGCTTATTGCATCTATTTTCGGTACCAATGGGAGATTGAGGCCACAAGGAGTGACATTATGCAAATCTAGTGGCTGAGCATGCTCAGTAGGAAGGAGTTATATAACCCTAGTAGCTGAGCATGCTTAGTAAAGTGGAATTCATCCTTTGAATTATCTTCCAATGGAGGTGCTGAAGAGCACAGAATATTCTTAAATATGTTTGGTGCATATGATAGAATTTAACCAATGAGCATGCCCTAAAAAGAAACCAATTGAGCATGTACAAACCTGTTGCATAACCTGTTACATAATTGGGAATTACCCCCTTAGCTGAATATTCATTATATAGCATGAATATGAATTAGACAGTGAAACTATAAAAGTGGAATCCCTGTAGGAGGCAGAGCTGTTGTTCACTCTCCTAGAGCTAGCTCACGCTTTGCCTGAGGCATGTATTTCTTTCTTTTTGTATCAAGCTTTCCTTTAGCAGGCTGCTGTGCACTCTAGAGCCAGCCTGCACTTTGTCTGTGAACATGTATTTATTTTTGTACTAAACTTGGTGTGGGCCCTGCTCAGTCTCTGGTGCTAGGCCACACTTTCTCTGTGAAATCTGTATCTTTTATTCATTACATTAAACCTGTTCTCACTTTGTACTATGACTCTGCTACGAATTCTTTCCTGTGGTGGAGTCAAGAACCTGGTAAGAGAACAAGTTGGATAAGGGCCAATTGTCAGGCCTTCCCAGACCCTCTTTTCTGGTACCAAAAGAATTTGAACAGGTAATTCACAGAAGGAATACAAATGGTCAATAAACCTAAAGAGGAAGAAAGCCCAACTATACTCATAGGCAATAGAAATGTGGTTTTAAACAACAATGAGATGGCATTTTTCAAAACTATCCATGATGTTGGCAGGCTTCAGTACTGGCAAGTGTGGAGTAGGAGAAGGAGGAAATCAGTGTGGCCTTGGGAGAGGGCTGTTTGACAGTAGCTATTAAATACAAAGTGTGGATATGCTATGCTCAGTTATCCACTCTCACCTTCATCCTAGAGAAACTTACGTGCACAAAGGACCCTGTATTTGAGGGGTGTGCTATCCCACCTGTGTCCATTGTGGTGAGATTCAGAGACAACCACACGCCACCACAGTGTCCACCAACAAGGGAGGGGTCCTCTGATTCATGTAACAGCCACAGCCAAACCAAGAATGTAAACCAAGGGTAGAAATATAAGGAATCTAGGAGCACTCACCTGGAAAGATTTCCAAGAACATGTAGATCATTTATGTTAAAAGCACCTGATTTATCCCAGGAATGCAAAGTTGGTTTAACATCTGAAAATGAATTAATGTATTATACCAATAGAACAAAAACAAAAATCACTGATGTGAACAGATGCAGAAAAGCATTTGATGAAATGCAACACACTTTCATGATAAACACACTCAACAAATTAGAAATACAAAGGAACTTTTTCAGCCTGATAAAAGGCATCTACGAAAAGCTCACAGCCAACATAATACTTAATGGTGAAAGAATGAATGGTTTGCCCATAAGATCAGGAACAAGACAAGAATGTCTGATCTCACGACTTCTATTCAACGTTGTACTGGAGGCTCTAGCCAGGGCAATTAGGCAAGAAAATTACATAAAAAGCACCCAGAATGAAAAGAAAGAAGTAAAACTATCTCTGTTCATAGATGATACAATTTGTATATAGTAAATACTAAGAAATTCACTTGAAAACTATTAGAAATAATAAATAAGTTCAGCAAGTTTGCAGGATATACCAGTAAGATACAAATATCAATTAGATGTCTATACATTTGCAACGAACAATCTGAAAATACAATTAAGAAAACGATTTTATTTTCAGCAGCATCAAAAAGAAAATATTTAGGAATAAACTTAACAAAAGAAGTACAAAACTTAAAAAGACCTAAATAAATGGAAAGTCATCCTATGTTCATAGATTGAAGACTTAACATTGTTAAGATAATGATATCCCCCAAAATGACCTATACATTCAACAAAATCCCTATCAAGATCCCAGATGACTTCTTTACAGAAATTGACAGACTGATTCTAAAACTCACATGGAAATTTAAGAGGCCCAGAATAGCCAGAACAATCTTGAACCAGAAAAGCCTCTTTGAAGGACTCACACTTCCCGATTTAAAAACTTAATGCAAAGCTAGTTATCAAGACAGCGTTGTACAAGCATAAGAATAGACTTAGATCAATGGAATAAGATTGAGAATCCACAAACAAGTCCTCATATTTATGGTCACTTAATTTTCCACAAGGATGGAAGCCTGGCGACCGCCGAGGCTCGGCACCGCGTGGGGCCAGCCAAGAGGCCGCTTCCGGGCGGGCTGGAGCGGGAAAGGCGAGCGCGAGGACCCCCGGCCGGACAGGGCAGCTGGGGAAGCAGCGGCCCGCGGCCTGCCCTTGCGAGAGCAGCCACTCGGTGGCCGTTCGCTCCTCCCGGCCTCACGGTCGGCTCCCACCGCCGACGTGCTTCCCGAGGCCCGCCCGCACCTGGGCAACCGTGCGGAACCAGGACCGCGTCTCGGACGCCCCTGCTAAGAGGGCACCTGAGGTTCACCCTCGCACCCCCATAGTCCGGGGCAGCCGGTGCGGCGTAGGGCAAAAGACACAGCAAAACACAGGTGGGGGCGGTGTAAAAGTGGAGAAAGAGCTTGGACGCTCGGTTGAGGCACCGCTGGGATTCGAACCCAGGATCTCCTGTTTACTAGACAGGCGCTTTAACCAACTAAGCCACGGCGCCGCCCGTACGAGTACCGCGGGAATCACTTTCCTATCACTATTGAATGCATTGGCCGCGCGCATGCGCATAGATTTTGCCGGCAACAGGCGCAAGCGCGCTGTAGGTCCCGTTCGCGTAGATGGCCGGGAGGCAAGGCTGGACGCGGAGACCGGAAGCTCGGGCTGCACGTAGTGGGTGGGGCCTGGGCGGGCCGGCCTTCCCGGTCACCGTAGCGTGTCCTCCGGCGTGGAATCAGGGCACACGGATCTATGGGCGTTGCTAGCGCGAGGTCCGGACCTTCTGCCCGCCAGAAGTGTAGCAGGAAAGCACGGCCGAGCCATCACCCGCGCCGGAGACCCCCTCCCCGCCCGCGCGGCCGGTCTGCTGGCTGCCCTGGATCGGTCGGGGCGCCGAGTCCAGCGGTGACCCTGATGTGCTTCGGACCCATCCACACCGGCGCCTCAACCTGAGAAGGCCGGGGGCCCTGCCAGCCCTAGGGGGCCCATAACTTCAATTGGGCCGCTTCTCCCGCGGACCCTGAGCCGGGGGAGACTGGAGCGGGGCGGGTACTGAGGGGCCCTGAGCAGGCTCTGAGAGGTCACGGGCTTCAAGGGCCACTTGGTCCCAGCACGTTTCAGAGGGCCTTTGGGCAACAACAGAGCCAAACACTGCTGGCCCGTTCACCCGGCATTCCTCCAGTTTATGCAAAAGTGTATGTACAAGAAAGTTCACTCCAGTATTATTTCCAGTAATAGCAACCTAAGTGCCCATCAACGGGGGCAATGTTTGTATATGCAGTCTAGCCATCCTCCACAGCCACGGGGTTGTATATACATCTATGCATGTCTTCCTCTGTGGGAGCGTCTCAAGACCAACCGGGAGGAGGGAGGTCACCAGCAAAAGGATTTCTCTGCAAAGAGAACCCAGCTGCTGGGAGGGCATAAGTGGAGTTTGACATGATCATACATCATTCATGTGAATAAATGAATAAATACTGAATAACCAACTTGAATCTGAGCAGTCACCCAGGCTGTGGCTGACAAGAACAGCACCAAGCATGGGATCTGCCCAAATATCGATTACCGGGTTATGGTGCTTAAACCAGAGTTGTTGGATGCCACACAACTGACACTACATAAATCAGTCCTGCAATTTAAGTTTTCTTAAACGGACCAAGGGGCATATTAATGATATTTGACAAAAATCATGTGAGCCATACCTAAAGGAAAAGAGGCTCTTCATGTTTGGAATTGAAAAGTCTGGGGTAGACAGCATTCTGCTTATCATTCTATCTACCACAGAAACAGCCTGTGATGGATATGCCACGACCATTCCCTTTCCTAACCAGACCTTCCTCTGCTCTGGGCAGGTGACCATTAGGCGAGAATCTATACCCCATCGCTATTTACTGAGACTGCCGAGCATGCGCGCGCACAGATTTTGCACAGTAAGGAGACGTTATTCAGGACCACAGAGATAGGTATAGAGACCACTGCAACGGGGTCCTGCAGTGGGGGAGAGAGATTGGCTTCAACTCGGAATACAGCCTGAGCAAGTGGGGATTTATAGCCAAGGGGTGGGGTGGGAGCCAGTGGGTGGAAAATTACTGAATTAACATCAGGGGTAAGGAGAATTCTGGCTAAACTGACCTAACAGGATTCTTGCTGAGACATCACCTGGGGGAGGATGGAGGATAAGGAACCTGAACAGATATGGAAGGTGATCAGATACTGAGGATGGAGGGTCCTGGCTTAACTGACTTTTAGCAGGATTCATTGCTAAAACTGGATTTTACAAGGAAGTGCCCAGATGGGCCTAGAAGAAGATGCAAAAGCCTGACTAAAATTTGGCCAAGCAAAGAATCTCTATCAGAGCATGTCAGGGAGGCACCCACAGTGCCTTGCCATCCTCATCCACAGAGGGGCCCCACACATCTTCATATTCATTTGACAAACCCTCCAGAACTCCTGGTGCCAGTGTCCGAGGGCTGCCTTACAAGTCAATTTCAGACCCCAAAATGTGAGTCCATAATGTGTTCCAAAAATGAGACAAGATGAACACCAGGTCATAAAGCTTAGAAATAGCAAAACTGCTCTTAGAATTCACATGCACACTTGCTTTCCACAGGATATAGATTTATTCTGCACGAAAACTAAAAAGAAAGTGTTCACTGTCCAAGGATGTTGCGGAGCTGGGGAGGTGGCCCTCTGGTGAGAGCTCAGTCAGGGCTTGGCCTCGGCCCCAGTCTGACAGGCCCACTCAGCTGGGAAGGGGCCCAAGAGAAAGGTCGCTGAAGATCCCATCACCTACATGACAGGTGGCCCATCAACTCAAAGGGCCCAGTGGCCATCAGTCATCCTCGCTCGTCTTCGGTGTCAAGCTCTCTGTTTCTGCTGATGATGAGACCTCTGCCGGCAAGTCTCTCGATTCTATCCGGCAGAACACACATTTGGTGAATACTTCAGAAGAAGTGTCACTTTCAAAGATGGAGAAAGGCCTGTCACATCCTTCGCACTGACATGAAATATTTTAAAAGAGCAGAAAGGAGGTGCTGATCAGAGGGGATCAAGGCATGAAGTTAGAATTCTCCCACCTGATCCAACTGCTTGGGGCTGGGCCAAGGCAAGCATTCCCCTCTCTGGAGTCCATAGCCCCAAAAAGGTGGAAATTGCAAAGAAAATGAGCACAGGCTTCTTCTCCCTCGCTTCCCCCTCAAAAGCTAAGCAGGTACTGCCAGCTCGTGTCACCTGCCGTGGGGGTCCTGAAGGCAAGAGTGGCAAGCTGTGTGGTGGTGGGGAGAGTGGGGTGGATGCTCATCCCCAGCCACTGCTCTGTGCAGAGCAGAATTGTGGGACCAAGGGGATGTCCTGACTCCCTGCCAATCTGGGGACACCTAACTTTTATAGAACCATGAGAAGCAAGTAGGCAAGATTTCTGAAGCAGGCATTTTAACTAGATTGATGCAGGTGCTGAGCATCCTCCTCTGACCCTGAGCCTGCTTCTGGCCAAGCACACAGACAACAGTGGATACAATGGCACAGCTCACCCACCATATCTACTTGCCACCAATAAGTAAGCAATTCCATGGGGTGGGGACTCAGGCCACAGGCAGAGGCCTCTCAGGGGTTCCTGCCACAGCGTGGTCCCCCTGAGACGAGGCTGCACAGTGGCATGCCCCTGCTCTGGCACTTCAAGCCCCTGGAATTTGACCCCCCTTGCCTGCTCAGAGCATTCAGATGCCCTCTGGGAAATCTGGCCTCTGAGGTTCCTCATATAGATTGGGAGCAAGTCAAATGCAGTGGGTTCATCTTGGCTACAGCTTCAGGTCAGTCTCTTTCTTTCTTTTGCAAAAAAGAAATTAGATCCTTTACCTACTTTATTCTGCAGCTCATTTCCCATAATCTAGTTGGACCAGACAGAACAACAGGCTCACAAAGGAGGCAGCTCCCAGGCCTTGCCCCAGGTGGCAGATAGAGGACAGGGAAATCACTGCTCTGTAGCTAGCCAGCTCCCAGGGTCTAAGGGCCAACACAACCACAAAGGCCATTAGGACCAACTGACCACAAAGACAAGGTCCATGAGGGTCCCACCGCTCACCTCCCTGCCCAGGAGCACTGTTTCCAAATTAGCTGTACCCAGAAGCAGTAGCTCCCAGCTGGACCTTCTGAGAGGAGACAAGTCCAGTTGGTTCCAGGATTCTGGGGAAAGGAGGACTCAAGGGCCCAGCATACACTCCTCAGCTTTTCTAAGGCAGCAGCAAGGACTGGCCTCCAGTGCCCAGGGATGGCCCTGTGGCCAGCCCTGGATGGGCCTGGGGAAGTGGATGTGCCTACCCCACTACCAAGCTCTTGCACTAGAGAACCACGGCACCTGAAGGACTGGCCTCCAGTGCCCAGGGATGGCCCTGTGGCCAGCCCTGGATGGGCCTGGGGAAGCGGATGTGCCTACCCCACTACCAAGCTCTTGCACTAGAGAACCACGGCACCTACACCTCTTGCACAGGAAATGGGGCACTGGGGGCCTGGCTGGAGTATAGAGGGCCCATGCAGTGTCCAGTCTGTGCCCGGCCATTCCTCCACTGACCAGCGCTCCCTCAGGCCTCATCTCCTCCACTCCATCTCACTCACTCCACTGCTCAGACATGCCAAGCTCGCTCCTGACTCAGGGGCTGGCTCCACACTGACTGTTCCCTCTGCTGGAACATTCTTCCCCTAAATATCTGCATGCTCACCCCCTCTCTGCCTTCAAGTTTGCACAAATGTCAGCTTCTCAATGAGACCTATCCTGACCACTCTTTAACATATTGCAACCCCCATCACTCCCATTCCCCTTTCCTGTGTTATTTTTCTCCCAGTTACAATCACCATGTGACTTACTACATATTTTTCTTGTGTCTTCACCCCTTGTTTGTCTCCCCTTTTTGGAATATAAGCTCCCACAGGGCAAGAATTTCAGTCTGTCTGTTGATGGTCATATTCCCAGTTGTCCAATAAATATTTGTGCAAAGAATAAATTAATTTGCAGAGGGAACTAACGAAAGCCTTCACTGGGCTTAATTTTACCCAATACCAACCTGTTTCACCTTTAAGCCTATAGCCTTTCTGTACTCGATTACCAAAGGAATTTGGTCAATTTCTTCAATATTCCATAGTCTCATGGTCCTATCCTAAAACAAGTTAAACAGCAAACCAGCAGTCACAAAATAGGCTGTGGTACATTCATACAATGATAAAAATAAATGAACTGTCAAGCCACAAAAAGTCATGGAGGAAACTTAAACTTAAATATTGTTAAGTGAAGGAAGCCAATCTGAAAAGGCTTCTTTCAATCTGAAAAGACTGTGTAATTCCAACTATATGACATTCTGGAAGAGGCAAAACTATAGAGACAGTAAAAAAGATCCGTGGTTGCCAGGGATTCTGGGGGAAGATGGGGAGGAACGAACAGAAAGAGCACAGGGGATTTTTAGGGCAGTGAAACTACTCTGTATGATACAGTAATGGTGGATACATCACATGCATTTGGCAACACCTATAGAACTGTACAGCACAAAGAGGGAAA